CAATATATACCAACTCAAATTTTAAAAGGGCCAAAGACCTTAACAGAAATCTCATTTAAAAAGAAAGATATACAGAGGGCAAGTAAGCACATAAAAAGATGCTCCACATCATATTTCTTCAGAGAAATGGTGAGATACCTATTAGAACGGCCAAAATCCAAAACACTGACAACACTAAATGCTGGCAAGTCCGTGGAGCAACAGGAACTCTCATTCTTTGCTGGTGGGAATGCAAAATGGTACAGCCACTTTGGAAGACTGTTTGACGGGTTTGGATTTTTTTTCTGGCAAAACTATACATACTCTTACCATATGATCCAGCAATCATACTCCTTGGTGTTTGTGTAAATGAACTGAAAACTTATGTCCACACATAACTGCACAGAGATGTTTGTAGCAGCTTTATTCGTAATTGTCAATAGTTAGAAACAACCAAGACATCCTTGATTAGGTGAATGAGTAAACCTAGACAATGTAATATTATTCAGTACTGAAAAATAAATGAGCTATTAAGCCATGAGAAGACATGGAAAAAACTTAAATGCATATTACTAAGCGAAAGAAGCCAATCTGAAAAGACTATGATTCCAACTATGTGACGTTCTGGAAAAGGCAAAATTACGGGGACAGTAAAAAAGATGAGTGGTTTGGGGTTAGGAGGGAGGAAGGGATGACTAGGTGGAGCACAGAGGATTTTTAGGGCAGTGAAAATATCCTGTGGATACATGTCATTATCCACTTGTCCAAGTCCACAGAATGTACAACACCAAGAGTGAACCCTAATGAAAACTATGGACTCTGGATGATAATTACGTGTGTCAGTGTAGGTACATCAGCTGTAACAAATGTTCCACTCTGGTGGGGATGCTAATGGAGGGGAGGCCATGCATGTGTGGGGGCAGGGGGCCTGTGGGGACTCTGTAATTGTTCCTCAGTTTTGCTGTGAATCTAAACTGCTCTAAAAAATAAAATCTATTTTTTTAATATATTTTATTGATTTTTTTTTACAGAGAGGAAGGGAGAGGAAGAGAGACAGAGAGTTAGAAACATCGATGAGTGAGAAACATAGATTCAGCTGCCTCCTGCACACCTCCTACTGGGGATGTGCCCACAACCAAGGTACATGCCCTTGACCGGAATCGAACCCGGGACCCTTCAGTCCACAGGCAGACGCTCTATCCACTGAGCCAAACCGGTCAGGGCAAAAATCTATTTTTAAAAAAGCAATGACTTCACAAAATTTAATAAATGATAACAGAAATTTTAATTTTTCTTTTAAAAGAAAGACAGTTTCCAAGAACTTAACATGTTTCCATTTGAAAGGGCCCCCAGGGTGTCTTCCATCGTAGATGAAAACAGAACTACACACAGCACATCATTGCAAAATCTGGAACATGGGGACCAGGAAAATTTCCTACAATTTCCAGAGAGAGAGAGAATTAGAACAGGTCTGGATTCAAAAAAGCCTTTGCACTTCTGAACAGCAGTATTGGAACTTAGGAGGCAACAGCACAGGCGTTCAAGATTCTGAAAGAAAATGACTTCCTGCCTGAAATTCTATGTTTATTAGAATGTGTCCTGGGATGCAAAGAACAGGGAAGTCAGATAAGAGAGGCGAAGGAACTCCAGGGCAGTGGTGACCACTGTGAGGAAGGGTCAGAGGGCAGCTGTCCCTGGCACGGCAGGTGAGCAGCCCTGAGGAAGACTTCTTAGAAAGACGACATTGTGAGAATAACTCACCCAAGTCTCTTGAGAAGAGATTTATTAGGTGGCCCAGAATGTAAGGTTAAAGGACTGAGATGAACATAAAAAACTAAGCCAATGGGAAAACAAGATTTTTTTTAAAAAGTTTTTCTATGGTTATATTTTTGTATTTTTTTTTCTTTTATTGAACTTATTGGGGTGACACTGGTTACAAAATTGTACATGTTTCAGGTGCAAGGCAATTTTTAATTCCAGAGGAAATGAGTTTTGAGGGAAAATAAAAATAATCATAATTAACCATGTGTCAGTGATGAATATATTAGCATAATTATGTAAATGATAGACAAGGCTTTTGACTGACCGAACGTATGATTTATGTATATTGATAGGGTACAGTGGAAGAAGAATGGTGGGGAGAAAGAGAAGTAAATATTCAGCTAAATTACACATAATGGCTACACCTGAAAATCAAGAAATTTGGAAACCTGAGGGGGTAAATACCAAGAAAAACAGTGAAAATGGTGGTTTTCCTGGAGAAGAGGCAAGGTCTGACAGGCCTGAGATCTTACCCTACTTGCACGCTAACTAGTTTGCCAGTTTCATGGATGCCGACAGAAGACACAGAACTCTGGGATCAGAGACAAAGAACAGTTTATTTTCACAGCGGCATTAACTTTGTGTTTGTAAGCTGGTTTCTAAAGGCCAAATTCTGTGAAGGCCACGTGTTAACATAAAATTTTGTAGTTACATCAATATTGAGTAAATTTGTTCATATGTTAAATTTTAATTTCCCAGTTTCACTGGAATGTGAATTCACATTTACAAATGCTGAGGTAGTTTAAGAACCTAAAGTGAGGTTTGAATAGTATTGAGCACTGTCTTGCTGCAGCTATTGTATCTAAATTCTAGGAAAAATAAATTGATGCTGGAAGTTGAAGAGAAGAAAAAAGGTAGTAGGGAGCCCAAGCTTCATGGGCGGGGAGCGTGCAAAAGGCAGCCCATTAATGATTCTCTCTGATCATCTCTCTCTCCCCCTTCCTCTCTGAAATACACACACACTCTCTAGGGAAACAAAGAGGGCAGCCAGTGTCTGACTCACAGGTGTGCAGAAATGCAAGAGAACAATGGAGAACTGAGTCTCAAAACTGCTGTCATTCATCATCAACCTCCTTGAATTATTTTTTAGAATTTGCATGCACATATAACTTCCATAAAAATCCAAATCTAAGATATTTTAAATGATTCAGACAACTTATCTAACCCCCACTCCTACCGACTAGGCATATTTTCTTTCCAACGGAGACCCACAGTTGAAAACCATTGGACAAGGAAGTTTTCTGAAACCTTGCCCAGGGAGGGCTGGTGGGCGTGGGCGGGGCTGAGCGCTGGGCTGCACCTGACCGGACCCAGCGGCTGCCAAGTGCCGGGAGCAGCCCTTCTGTACTTTGTGTTGAATGGAGCCCCGCAGAAAGTCAAGAAATAGCAACACAGTCGGCCGGCCAGCGGGGCTCAGCTCCCGGGCCCTGGGTGGCGGGACGGGAGGAGGGGCGGGCGTACCAGCCGCTTATCAGCCCCATCTCCCATTACATAAGGCCGCGCCCCTATCTCCCGGCATCGCCGCCAGCGCAGGGCCAGCGCATCTTCTCCCACACACAGCAGCCTGCCCACCGCTCCCCGCCTGGGTTCGGCTGGTCCTGGGGAGTAGGCAGGCGTTGACTCATCCTGACAGGGCTCCCCGGGACTTGCACAGCCCAGCGTGGTTCCCCAAACCTTCCCCCATCCAAGACCCCAGCCAAAGATGCCCTTGGCCCTATTCTACCCATGAAGACACGGAGGCCCACAGAGGGGTCAGCACTCCAGGCGCTGGGAGCGGGGAGAGGGGTGGGTGGGGAGGGGGTATGCCAGCTGCAGGGGCTGCCTTCCGTCAGGGCCTGCGGTTGGGTGGGAGCTTAGGGTTTGGACAGAAGAGATGGTGGGACAGTGTTGCCTGTGGAAGGAGAGGGGGTAAGGCTGGGAGGCTGCAGAGCAGGAGAAGCTGCTGCATCCCTAAAGGCCCTTTTGAGGAGATTGGGCCCCACCGGGGGGAGGGGGTGACCGAGGGAGCCTGAGCAAGAAGGCAGAGAGGGGGCTGGAGGGGGAGGCACTGGCTTAGGGGAGGGAGGAAGTGGGTGAGGGAGAGGGTTTGACATCAGCACACAATAGGCAAATGCTGCCGTCTCTGTTGTGGGGGTTTCTGGAGGAGTTCTAGAGAAATGAGGGAAGGCAGGAAACAGCTACGTGCAGTGCAGGGGTCCCTGCAGGGGGTGGGCTGTGCCAGGGACCCAGGAGCGGGCTTCACTGTGCAGAAGGGAAACGAGGTCCGCAGAGGGCACGGCCTGGTTTCCACAGAGGCTGGTGGGCAGAGGTGGGCAGGCCACTCCCTGACCTGGGACTGACCGGAGCAGTGAGGTCGCCCAGCAGGACGGGCCCACACGGAAGGCCGGGCAGGGCTCCCAGTGTCCAGGTGGCCTGTGCTCCCGTCAAAGCCACGTGGGAAGGGGAAGGTCCGGAGGGTCTGCCTGGATCTGTTGGTGGAGACCCGGAATCTGGACTTTTAAAACCCCTCACACAGCGGGGCTGCTGGGAACCAGGAGACCAAGAGGAGTGGACCTCACTCCGCTCTTGTCCTGTCTGTACTTTGTATCCGAAGCAAGCATCCCTTTGGTAATGCAAAAGACCGCTTCATTGGAAAAATAAACCCCCAATTCCCCATATCTGGTGGGCTGGGGTCCTAGCACTGTCCGCCGAGCACACGCGGTGGCCCAAAGGGGTCTGAGGGCAGGAGCGGGGCAGGCCCTCGGGTGGCCACCATGCAGGACTGGCATGGCTGACACCAGCCCTCCAGGCCCTCTCACCTGCCCCTGGGTCCTCTCACCTGCCCCCCAAGGCCCTCTCACCTGCCCCCCTGGCCCTCTCACCTGCCCCCGGGCCCTCTCCCCTGACCCCCAGGCCCTCTCACCTGCCCCTGGAGGAAACCCACCAGATCTTGGAAACTGCCCAGACCCCTGTCATTAGTAAGTCCACAAGAAATCAAACACTTTCCTTTATGCGATGCTGGATTTTCCACAAAGTAAAATCAAGATAAGTAAACTGTGGTTTCTAGATAGTGGCTGACAGCGCGGGGACCAGGATGTGAGGCGTCACCGTGGGCCTATAAAAGCTGCCACCAGACACCAAGGCCACAAGCGCTCAGCTCGGGCCAGCCTGCGCGTCTGCTCTGCTCCTGCTCCTGCTCCTGCTGGTCTGCTCAGGACTCCATGGCGCTCTGGCTGACCCTAGTCATCGTTCTCACCTGCTTTGGCGGCCTCGCCTCCCCGGGCCCTGTGCCCATCCTCACGGTCGTCAAAGAGCTCATTGAGGAGCTGGACAACATCACCCAGAAGGTGAGTGCTGGTGCTGGACTCTCGGAACTGGTCATGGTCTGGGCCATGAAGGCTGGGCCTGGCGCTAAGATGCCTGTGGGTCAGGAAGAAGCCCCACGGGCCAGGGGCCGGGTCCGAGGGAGAGAGAGGGGCCGGGCTGGGGTGCGCAGAATGGGTGGACCCATGAAGAGATTCGGCAGAGCCCCAGGGACCGCCTGTTCCCTGGCCTGGCCCTGCCTGCCTAGCAAGCGCCTACCCAGCCGTTCCTGATCAGAGAAAAGCAGAGAAGGGCCAGCGCCCGCTCAGAACCACTTGGCATTTGCCAACGGGATTTGAATGCAGTCGTGGGGCTGTTCCGAGCCTCCTCGTTGAGCCCATTCTTATGGAAGGTTCGCTGGCAGGGGCAGGTCCTCTCCTGGCGGTGGCAGCTCACGCTTTCTGAGCGCTGATCATGTGCCAGGCCTGGGGCTGGGGCTCACGTCTCAGTTCCTCCCTGTCAGCCACCCTGAGAGGCAGGTCTGATGACCCCGCTTTACTGACTGGGCCTCAGTGCACTTGGTTCACAACAAACAGATTCAACACAGAGCGCCATGCTCTGAACTGCGGCGTCCACAAGGCAGGGTAGATCCCCACCGCCTCCATTCGCTTGGCCCGGCCGCCTCACCTGCTGGCCGGGCCTTCCCTGCCGGCCCCCTAGTGGCCGGCCCGGCGTCTTCTGCCCTCAGTCCTGGCTGTGGCGAGCGCCACACAAGGCAAAAGACCGCTTCATTGGAAAAATAAGCGGTGGCAAGGGTCCCTTAGTGGTTGTGTCATTCGGTTTTTCTCCCTCAAAGGCCCCTGGAGAATGGGTCTGCCCGATGTGCAGAGAAGAAAATGGGGTTCAGGAACATTGAGGGGGCCAGGCCTGCCTCAGTGCAACACCGGGGGTGCTTGTGGGACTGATCCCCCCTGAGACCTGCCTGGGCCCCGCCAGCACCCGCTCACTGTCCTTTGCTCCCCCAGGCCCCGCTCTGCAATGGCAGCATGGTGTGGAGCGTCAACCTGACAGCGGGCTCGGTAAGGACCCCTTGGGCACCAGGACCCCAAGGCCTCGGGCTGGTCTTTTCGGAGCCCCGCTCACAGGGCTTGGGGGGCTCTAGGCAAGCTTAAAGAGCTGCTCCCTCCCTCCCTCCCCCCAA